GCTCGCCCCGCGGCCCGCGCCCCGCTGGCGTTATCAGGGGGTTTTCATTCCAATCGGACGGAAGACCATGCGAACAAAAATTGCCCACCTTTCGCTTTGTACCGCGGTATTTTTTTCCTAGGGGTTTTTAAGAAACAAAGGGTCTTAGTGGGTGGTTGGAGACGACGGCAATCTGTGGCAGAGTGCCAGGGAGGGAGGTGGGGCGGACGGTTTTCCCTCGGTTTTAGTAATTTTCGGGGGTTCCAGGGGGAATTATTGCGAGCTCTTCGGAGGGGAATTTCGGGAGTGGAAATTGGAAGTTTTAGGGGATATCAGTGGAAATTTTAGGGGGTTCAGGGAAATTCTGGAGAGAAAGGAGAGAATGGTTCAGGAAAAATTACGGAACAGGACGCTCAGCGATTGCGGAATCGAGTCGGAAAATTTGAGGCACGGGACCGTAATTTAGGAGATTTGGGAAAAATTACGGAACGCGTGGGAAATTTTCCGTGACTGTTCCGTAAAATTCACGACAACCACATTTTGCTCCGGAATTACGGAAAAGATGCGCAATTTTTATTGAATTTTTCTTTCCGCGCACGGTATCGTAATCTTTCACAGGAGATTTAGGAAAAATTGCGGAACGCGCAGGAAAAATTATGTGATTTTGGGGAAAAATTACGTGACAGGTCGGAATCTAAGGGAGATAGCAAAATTTTTGTTATAACCTTTTTTGAAGAGCCGATTAAGAGCTACAACAAATGTAGTTACGAAAATTTCGCTATCTCCTCTAGATTCGGAAATATTCCTCAAAAACTCAACTACCACTTCGCTACTGAATTCATAAAAATTCTTTCGGAACGCAATCGATTTATTATTAGCAAAAATATATTGACTAGGCCGTAATGAAAACAATTCCCCACTTGTCCTACTTCTAACAGAGTAGAGGAATATTGTTAAAAATGGGGATTGATCTGAGATTCGGTTGAGATGGGTCTTGACATCTGCAAGGAGATGGGATCGATTGGAGCCCAGACATTACATCATTCAGATACCGAAGAGATGAAGCATGACAAATATTTACGGGCGCTGGGGCTGAGCGAATGGAGACCATGGGATTTTCGGGGGGTGTCCCCACGTTTTTTCGAGGGCCGTTTAGCCGAGTTCATGGGGTCATTATGGATTGGTTATTCCCCGGGATTGTTACTGAATTGGCTTTTCAGAGGCGTTGCTGCTCTTATCAATTAATTGGACTATGGTTATTTCCTTATTAAATTAATTATTGCAAATATATTTTGTATTTTCCAAATTTTTTATTATTTCATTTTTTATTTTTTCGATTATTTTCCCTTTTTTCGGAATTGTCCGATTTTTGTCTCTCGAATAGGTTATTTCTTCCAAAAAATCACGGGAAAACAAATAAAAAGAAACGAACTAGAAAAAACATGAAGCGAATGCACTTCTTTAACGCATAAAGATTTTTTTTCAGATGCATAACTTTATTAATTACAAGGATAAATAAATCAAGATAAAAATTTACTAATGTTAACCTCTGCATAAATATTAAATGGGATCATTATGAATTGATTATCCCCAGTTTTTTCTCTAGGATCAATGTTAAATAGAGGAAAAGTAGTCATGGGAATTAATAAACTAATTATTTTACTCCAGAAATGAATGATTCTCTTTTATCCTCAGGGAGATCCAACACGAAAAGACTAATTGAAGGATGAAATTGAAATTAAAAAAGATTTAACAATTCATTGAATTATTTTTATTTCATTATTTTGTTAATTTTTATTACATTATGAATGCACTTCTTCACTGCCCAAAGCATTCATGTTCAGGCGCGCGACTTTATTAACTTGAAAGATAAATAAAGAAAATAAAAATCTGCTATTACCAGACGTTTGAGTAAATATTGAATGCAACCTATGTTTCGTTCAATTCTCTTAATATTTTCAAGTTTTAATAAAGCGGGAAGATCTTGGAGAGTGAAAAATTTCATGTCCACATCGCATCAATAAAGACGAAGTAATCTTCGGGGTTTGTATCACCACTAAAATTCTGAAAATAACGAAATCCTTGGGGACATTCCCACATCACCAAGTAATCGTAAACCTAGTGCCCTTCAGGCATTACATCATCCGCATGCCTCAGAGATGAAGCATTACGCTAAATATCTCCGGCCACAGGAGTTTAAGACAAATTATTTTTAAATGATGGTCACTTAATTATCCTAATGAGCCTCATTACAAATCGGTTATTAGTATCATTAGCTTTTCGAAAACTGAAAATCAAATAAAGAGGATTAATAATAATAATAATAATAATAATAATAATAATAATAATAATAATAATAATAATAATAATAATAATAATAATAATTGTAATTTAGTGAAAATTGATATTATTAATAATTAATATTATGAATATTGATATTAAAATATTTATGAATTGATTAATTAAGATTAATTGACTAATATGATTGAATTTTTTTTAAGCCAATGATAATTATAATTAAATGGGGCCGAAGAAAATCTTGAATTTCCAAAAAAATAGATAAACTAAACAGGGGTTGAGAGATGCATCTCCACAATTTTTAAACGAGGAGGACTTAATTATCCTCATGAGTCATAAATAAATTGGACATTAGTGTCATTAAATTTTCGAAAGCAGAAAGTAAAGTAAAAAAGATTAATTTAAAAAATTGATAAGCTACTAATTTTTTCCCTCTCATTATAATTATAATTCAACGAATTAATATTGGCCGTGACTATTCGCACCATTGCGTGAATCACTCCCGTACACTCCATACACTCCACGCATACGTGAAGTTTGTGTGTTTCACGCAGCCGAATTTTCATACTGCTGTGTATTTCACGCAGTTGAAGGTTCATACTACTGTGTGTTTCACGCAGTTGAAGTTTCATACTACTGTGTTTCACGCAGTTGTATTTTTATACACCTGTGTGTTTCACGCAGTCGTATTCAGATACTCCTGTGTATTTCACACTCCTGTGTGTATAAACACACAGGTGTATAAAACTTCAACT